TTTACTTTTTCTGGGTTTTGTATTGTTAGCTGTAAAACTTACACAGACGTACTCAAGGTTAAAAAGTGATTAGTTTGAGATTATGGCCTCAGAATGGTTTTGGCTGCAGGTAATAGAAACTAGCATCAACGAACTTCATAAGCAGTTAGTTCTACCTATGATACAAAGTCTAGCTGGGTAATTCCTTGGTTCAGTGACATCATCCAAGGCCAGGTTCTTTCATCTTTCTGCTCTGCCACCTTTGCCTTTCAAGCCTTATCCTTTAGTTTCTTGTGTCCTCGAGACCACATAGTCAGAATATCCTCGTATGCATCTTCTGTCTTCCAGAATGCTTCCCTTCATAATTTATTGTCCAGAACTGGGCGGATGCCCTTGCCTAAGCCAGTTAACACTGTGCCCACCATGATTCACTCAAACCAATGGAGACTGTGCACGGAGTCCACAGGAACAGTAAAAACTAGGTACCTGGACAAAATTAGAGTGTTGTTTCCACGGAAGAATAGAAGCATATCAACAAAATACACATAACAGCATTGGACACATTGAAACATCCAAATTGAGAATGCCTAATATAGATTCTTTTAATCCAGTGCCTATATTCAATTGTAGCTCTGAAAGCTATGTTCTTTTGTTTCTTTGTTTGTTTTTTGAGACGGGGTTCCTTTGTGTAGTCTGGCTGTCCTGGAACTTACTCTGTAGACCAGGCTGGCTTCGAACTCACAGAGATCCATTTACCTCTGCCTCCAGAGTGCTGGGATCAAAGATGTGTGCCACCACTGCCCAGCTGAATGTGTGCATTCATTTTGTCCTCTATAGAAACCTGGTCAGGGTGAATTCTACCTAAAGACTGGAATACATGCAGTCTTGAGACCCTAGTCACATGGCATGGTAGAGGCAAGAGAGAGAAAGATTAGTGAGTACCAACTACAGCCCCAGAAATTCCCCTACTAAAACCAAATTTGAGCAAAGTTCTGACAGATCTGGTGTATGTAAAACAAGGTGATAAATGGCCCCAGAGCAAACTGACTGGGTTCAGTGCAGTCTTGAGATGCTGACCCACAGAGACTTCTGGTTCTGAGACATAGGTAGAGATGGGTTGGTGGAGAGTGCACTTGAGATGGTTGCTCGAAAGGAATTAGGAAACTCAGGAAAGGACAGCAGTAAGTCAAAGTCAACAGCTACACTATAGCTTTGTTAATGTACTGAGCATGCTCTTGACTTAGGTGGAAGGTAAGTATAAACAACCCTATGACTCCTATGAATGTAATATGAGTACTGCCTATCATTCTGCTACTGTGGTTGATGACAAGAGTATGGCTTCTGAGTTCACTCTCTTCTTCACTTTGCCCCTAGATCCTCGTGTGGATTTCCCTTCAAGTCTTTTCATCCAAGAGCTTTTGATGAGCTCTTACCCTGGCTCTCTCTCAAGAACCCCTCTTTTCTATGCTTCTTCATGGGGTTGGTTTCTGCTGGAAATTTTATTTTTTTATTGTATTATTTAAGATTTTAATTTTATTTTTAAATATGTAGGTATGTGCACAAGAATGCAGGTACACACAGAAGCCAGAAAAAAAGTGTTGGACCCCCCCCCCCAACACACACACCTGAGAAGTGGAATTACTGGCAGTTGTGAACCACCTGATGTGAGTGCTGGGATCTGAACCCAGGTCCTTTGGAAGAGCAACAGTACATATTGGGCCATCTCTCCAGCCCTGTCCATACTATATTATTTAAGAACATAGTTATGATATTGTTGGTACCCACTTAGGATTTGCTGTATCAGGGCTGCGAATGTGGGTCAGTGGCAGAGTGCTTCTCTGGCATGTGTGAGGCCTTACTTCAATTATCAGCACTCCTTGTGTCCCCACATCCTTCCCCCAAGAAAGATTTTCTGGTTGAATTACTGAGACACTTCTTAAGTATTTTTCTTTCAATTTTTATCTAATTTTTTGTTCCTTCTTTTATTGGATAATGAGAGCTATGTTCTGTTTTCCTTTTTTGACTGAGCTACCAGAAATTACTAAACTTTGAACTCACTTGCAATAACCATGCTTAGCTTGAGGTGTTTGCATTCCTCATTTACTATAGAGCGATAAAATATATATTTTTTTTAATTTTTGAGACAGGATTTCTCCGTAGCTTTTGGTTCCTGTCCTGGAACTAGTAGACCAGGCTGGCCTCGAACTCACAGAGATCCTCCTGCCTCTGCCTCCTGAGTGCTGGGATTTTTTTACTCTTTTTTTTGCGATAAAATATTTATTTAGGACTGCAGATGTAGCTCAGTTGCTAGGAAGGTTGCTGAGCATGCATGAAGTCCTGGGCTTGATCTTCAGCATCACATAAAGCAGGCGTGGTAGTACATTTCTATAATTCTAGCACTGGAAAGGAAGGCACAGGAGGATCAGAAGTTCAAGATTATTCTCAACTATTAGAGAGTTTGAGGCCAACCTGAGCCTGTCTCAAACCTGTCTCAAAAAAAGTTATTTTAGTGGTGCCTGATTTCAGTATCAACTGTTGTCGGTTGTCTCAGATTCTGATTGTATCAAATGAACGAGTGAGTGAACTGATTAATTGGTAATAGAGGGAAATGCCACACCAGGAACCATGTTGTTAGAATGAGTGAGACGGTATTGGCTCAAAGTTGGAGAGACGGTTAAGAGATGGTTAATAGGAGCACTGCTGCTCTTCTAGAGACCTGAGTTCAATTTCCAGAACCCACTTGGTGGCTAACAACCATCTCTAACTCCAGTTCCAGAGGATGTGATGCCCTCTTTTGGCCTTCTGGGCATTGAATACACATCCATACAGACAAAATGTACAGACATCCATACAGACAAAATATTCTTACTCATAAAATAAAATGCTGCTGCTGATGGTGGTGATGGTGGTGATGATGGTGACGATGGTGATGGTGACGATGGTGATGGTGATGATGGTGGTGATGATGGTTATGGTGGTGATGGTGATGACGGTGGTGGTCATGGTTTTGCTGCTGATGCTGCTGATGGTGATGAAGATGATGTTTCTGTTCTTAGTAGAAAAGAAACTGAGTCAAATTACTGATCAGAGCATCTCCATGGCACCATGTTGTCAGTTTTCTCTTCTGTTTTGTTTTCAGTTAGGCAATGAGCGTCATTAAGAGTCTGTTTTTGTAAATGTAATTGGTCTCAATACCTAAGACAGTGCCTGAAATGTATGCTTAATAAATATTTTATAAATTAATAAATTAGGCTGGGTGTGTAATTTCATGGTAGAGCACATGACTAGAATGCACAAGGCTCTGAGTTTGATCTCCAGCACTGCAAGAATTAAGGGATCAGTAATGGTGGCACAGGCTCTGTACTTCCAGCACTTGGCAGGTAGAAGCAGAAGGATCAGGAGGTCAAGACCAGTCTTTGTTATATGGCAATACTGAAACCAGCCTGAACTATGTGAGACTATCTCAAAAGCCAAAATTAATAATAATGACAATGGGCTGGAAAAATGGCTCTGTAGTTAAGAATGCCTGCTGCCCTTCTAACAGTTGCCAGCACCCACATCAGGTGGTTCACAACCACCTGGAACTCCAGCTCCAGGGGATCTGATCCCTTCTTCTGCCCTTATACATGGCATACATATATAGCCATTATTTTGAGGCCAGCCTGTGCTACATCATGAGGTCCAGATCAACTGGAACTACAGGAAAACCCTATCTATAATAGTAATAACAAGAGACTAAGAAATAATCAATTAACTTAGAATGTATTTTTTACCATTTATTTTGATTTTAAGTCTGTTATTAACAACTAATTTGGTTCTCTTATGCTTATTCTTTTTATCCTGCAATTTCTCTCCCTTCTGTATTTCCAGACCTCTTTTATTTTCTTGTGCCCTCCTTCTTGACAAGGAACCTACTTCCTTTAACTGCACAAACTCATACCGCCGGGCTTATGAATGTTGCTCCCTCTTCTTTCCTGGGACTGTTAGCTCTCATGTCCCTTTAACTAAACAAGATGATTCACAAACCTACAGATTTATAACCAGAAGGCCCATCATCTTGTCTTATGGGCTCATCTCTACTCTGTCTAAAGAGGGGAAGTTTATTGTCCAAGGTCACACTATTGTTTAGAGCAGAGACCAAACTAGAACCCAGCCTTGGATCTATATTACGCTCTGCAGAATGAGCAAGCCTCTTCTCAACTCCAGAGAAGCCAAGCACTATGGGGAAAGTAGAAGAGTATATCTTCTTTTTCGTTGCAAATATCTTAAATGTAGTATGTTATAGGACTTAAATGTCAAATAGCCCAAGTTTGAACACTTTTTTTTTTTTAAGTCTCATGTGTCCCAACTGGGTTTGAACTTGCTCTGTAGTTGAGGATCACCTTTAACTTTTGTTCTTCCTGCCTCTTGAGTGCTGGGATTACAGGCCTCCACCACACTGAGTTTTAGCCAGTGCTAGGGATTCAACCCTGAGCAATATGCATGCTAGGCAAGCACTTTACCAGCCGAGCTCCATCTCCAGCCCTGAGTGTGTACCGGTTTTCTATGCTGAAAATAGACTGGCTGAGTCATCCCCGGTCCATGTTGATGTTCACAGGGCAGAGAGAGACACAGAACTGCATGGAGTGTGTCAGGACCACAGTTGTCAGCACTTGTTGTTTGCACCCACCATTTAAGCTTTGACTTCTTACAGGCTAAAGATGATGCTTTGTTAATTTTCATATCTAAATAACATTAGCATATCTAACAGAGAGAAGTCTTAGTATGGAGCCCAGTCTGCCTTGAAGCTGTCTGTGGAGTTCAAGCTGATTTTGAACACAAGAACTTTCTTCAGCTTCCCAAGTGTTGTATTACAGGCGTGAGCCACCATGCCCAGCTCTGAGCATGACTCTTAGTGGTTATATATGCCCACTGCAGAGTAAGGCACCATGTAGTGTGCCATGTTAAATCGCTAGTCCTTCACTAAAGAGCTGAAATGTTAAAGGATTTTGATCGTTTTTTGTTTTTTGTTTTTTCTACAGGGGACATGGTCTCAAAATACCGGGAGCCTTTGCTCCACACATTCCTGAGGGGAGCGAAAGATCCAGATGCTGCACACAGGGCCAGCAGCTTAGCCAACCTGGGAGAGCTGTGCCAGCGCCTGGACTTCCTGCTGGGCCCTGTGGTTCATGAGGTACCTACCGTATGCCGACTCTGTCCCCAGAGTTTGATTTGTTGAGACTGTGATAAAGTGTGGGCTCCTAAGTCAGGAGATCAACCTGTGGTCCTTTCCCATCTGCTACTGCATCCCTCTGAAACGGGACAAGTCTGTCATTTAACCTCTGTAGGCTGTCCTATCATCCTCCCCTTCCTCAACTTAGTTCACTTTTGAATTTTATTTACTTATTTTAAAATAGTATACAAAATAATAAGTTTCATTATGAGATTTCATGCATACTTTGTTGTTTTTAATCCACTGCCCCTACCTCTTTCCCCTAATCCCCTTCCTCCACTGCCCCTACCCCTCTCCCTAATCCCCTTCCTCGCTCCTTCATTTGTCCCCTTGTATTTCATATCATGTGTATCTGCTGCCCCCCCTTTTTGTTCTTCTTCTACTTTTTCATCTTCTGAACCCTCCCCAAGACTTTCTTTTCTACCTTTCAGGATTCCTCTTCTAGTTTCATGATTTCTAGAGAGAGAGAGAGAGAGAGAGAGAGAGAGAGAGAGAGAAATAAACATGCATGGGTGCATATACATGAACATGTATACACAACGGTCATGAATGCACATACATGAACATGTATACACATCGGCCATGGGTGCATATACATGAACATGTATACACAACAGCCATGGGTGCACATACATGAACATGTATACACAACGGCCATGGGTGCACATACATGAACATGTATACACAACAGCCATGGGTGCACATACATGAACATGTATACACAACAGCCATGGGTGCATATACATGAACATGTATACACAACAGCCATGGGTGCATATACATGAACATGTATACACAACGGCCATGGGTGCACATACATGAACATGTATACACAACGACCATGGGTGCACATACATGAACATGTATACACAACGGCCATGGGTGCATATACAAGAACATGTATACACAACGGCCATGGGTGCACATACATGAACATGTATACACAACGGCCATGGGTGCATATACATGAACATGTATACACAACGGCCATGGGTGCACATACATGAACATGCACACACACATGAATGGACACATATAAATAAAATATTTGATCAAAGGTGAGAGAAAACAGGTAGTATTTGTCTTTTTAAATGTGAGATACTTCCCTTAAGATAATTTTCAGTTCAACTCATTTTCTTGCAAATGTTATGATTTCATCTTTCTTTTCTCACTATATATATGTAACTCATTTCCTTTTTCTCTGTCTCTGTCTCTCTCTCCCTCTCTCCCTTTCTTTTCGAGACAGGGTTTACTATATGTAGTCCTGGCTGTCCTGGAGCTTGCTCTGTAGACCAGACTAACCTCAAATTCACAGAGATCCACTTTCCTCTGTCTCCTGAATGCTGGTATTAAAGGCATGTGCCACCCTGGCCCAGCTCATTCATCTCTTGATGGACATCTAGGCTGGATCTGTTTCCTAGCTGTAGTGGATAGCACAGCAATAAATATATATGTCCTAATAGCTCTGTGGTAGAACATAGAGTCCTTTGGGGATCATATTAATTATTGATTCCCTATTAATCTATATGTTTGATGTAATGATTTGTTGCCTTTAATTTCCCTGTTTATTTCATACTCATATTGAAAGATGTCTTCCAGATTGAGCATCCCTCTAAAACCCAAAATTATCCAAGATGATCTAAAATCCAAAATGCTAATAACAGTATAATGTCACAGTTGGAAATTTTTCTAGACCACGAAACTTGGTACAATTTCATAAAATTACATAAAATGTTATATTGGGCCAGGTGGTGGCAGAACACACCTTTAATTCCAGTACTTAGGAGGCAGAGGCAGGCAGATCTCTGAGTTTGAGGCCAGCCTGGTCTACAGAGTGAGTTCCAGGACAGCCAGGGCTAGAAAGAAAAACCCTATCTCAGGTAGGAAAAAGGGTTGTATAGAATTAACCTTCTGGCTAGGTGTCTAAAATTTATGTGAAATATAATTATATTGCATATTTGGATAACATTATGTATATGTAAATTTTACACAAAAAAAATTGAACTCCACAACAGTTTGGTCCCAAGCATTTCAGAAGAGATGTGCTCAACCTGTCATTAGAATCTAAGTTCCAGGTTCCTCACACTTGCTTAAAAACAACTAATAAATTGCTACAAAGACCCTGATGCGGCTGACACATTTGAAGAAACTTTGAGGATGAGCTAGACTGACCTTTTTTCATTCTCTGGTCATCTGTGAGTCATTTCTATTTACCAAAAAATCTTAGGCAAATCTAGCATTGATCTTCCTTGGTCACACAGGCCAGGCCGAGTTGCTCAGCTCAGAGCTGCCAGTAGCCATACCTTTGTAACAGGATGAGGCCGGATAGAAGAGTCCTGCTCATTGTCATCACTGAACCCAAACCTGAACACCAGCTTGCTTTCTCAGCCTCTAGACTCTTCCCTTTCTCTTCGTGGAAACCACAGCATATAGAAGACTGAGCTAACACAGGTTTATAGCACTTAAGAAGTGCCAGATTTTGTTGAATTTTGTCACTGTCTTAGGGTTTTTATTGCTGTGAAGAGACACCATAACCACGGCAACTCATAAACAAAACATTTAATTGGGTGGCGGCTTACAGTTTCAGAAGTTCAGTCCATTATCATCATGGCAGGGAACATGGTGGTGTGCAGGAACACATGATGCTGGAGCTGATAGTCCTACATCTTGACTCAGAGGCAACAGGAAGTTGACTGAGACACTGGGCAGTATTCTGGGTATAGGAAACCTCAAAGCCTGCCCCCATAGTGACATACTTCCTCCAACAAGGCCATATCCACTCCAACAAAGCAGATTTTTCTGTTGAGTGACATTTGAGCAAAGATGTAAGGAAAGAGGTGATCCATGTACCTGGAGGACAACATTCCAGGTGGGTTGTTGCTGGAGAGAGGAGTGTAAGAGAAAGAACAGTAGGAGCCAGCGTTGGAAAAGTAGTGGCCAATCCACATAGGGCTTGCAAAGTCGGGGGGGGGGGGTGTTCTTTTGTGCGAGATGAGAAGACAGCAGAAGAAATGCAATGGTGTAATTTATTTTAAATCGCTGAGACATTTTTATTAGCTCTTCAGCGTCTAATGAAGGTTCTGATCCTGGTATCTGGGAGGTCCCTACCCTCAAGTGCTGATAGAGAAGGAACCTTAACTTGAAGAGAGTGCTCTGCAGTCTGACATGTTAGTAGAGTCTACAATGGACAGGACAGATGATTCACTAGACCAAGCACTGATGGAGGAAGGTCATTGGTTAATTAAATAAAGAAACTGCTTGGCCCTGATAGGTTAGAACATAGGTGGGTGGAGTGAACAGAACAGAATGCTGTGAGGAAGAGGAAGTGAGCTCAGAGATGCCATGCTCCCCTCTCCCGTGCAGATGCGATAGCTCTGCTCTCTGAGACTCACGCGATGAAGCAAGCCGCCAGGTCAGACATGCTGAATCTTTCCCGGTAAGACCGGTGCTACACAGTTTATTAGAGATGGGTTGATCAGGATATCAGAATTAGCCAGTAAGGGCTAGAGCTAATGGGCCAAGCAGTGTTTAAAAGAATACAGTGTCCGTGTAATTATTTTGGGGCATAAGCTAGCAGGCAGCCGGGGTGCTGGGGACGCAGCCCCGCCGCTCTTAATACTACAAAGCACAGGGCTCACACAGAGCTGGGAAGTCATGTTGATAAGTGTTAGAAAGACAGAAGAAGTGCAGGTTCATAATCCACTTTGTTAGAAAGTTGAACTAGCCGGGCGGTGGTGGTACACGCCTTTAATCCCAGCACTCGGGAGGCAGAGGCAGGCGGATCTCTGTGAGTTCGAGACCAGCCTGGTCTACAAGAGCTAGTTCCAGGACAGGCTCCAAAACCACAGAGAAACCCTGTCTCGAAAAATAAAAGAAAGAAAGAAAGAAAGAAAGAAAGAAAGAAAGAAAGAAAGAAAGACACCCCTCTGATGCTCTTTGCTCTGGGGACATTCGCCCCTCTAGCTGTGGCATCTGAAGAGAGCTGTCCTAATTTGTGAGTGGTCCAGATTGGGAACACTTCTGTAGTTTATATGGTTTTGGCTGGCGGGGGGAGAAAGTATAGGTCCAGCTCTTCCCCTTCTCTTCCTACTGGGAATTCAAGTTTTTCTTCTTTGTTGGTGTCAAGATTTAGCCTGTTTAGAGTACATTATCATTTTTTCCACAACTTCTTGTTCATGTTAAGCACTATGTTACTTGAAACCAAATCTTGGTAGGCTTTCATCTTTATCACTGTGTGAAGTATTGTGATTTAAGTCAGTGCAGGAAGAGGCCTGTCCTCAATCCAGCAAATAAGATGTGTCCCAGGTGACAAGGACATGGAAGAGCCTACTTTAATGACTGCCCAAAACTCCACACACTTGAGCTCTGAGGCAGGTACAGAGTCACTGCTCTATTAGTTACTTTCCTATTGCTGTGATAAAACATGACAAAGGCAACCTAATTATGAAGGAGCTTATTCAGGCTTACAATTCTGGGGGGCTAGAGTCCATGATGGTGGTGTGAAGGCAGGAACAGGAAGCCGAAGGCATACATCTATCTTCCTTTTTTGTTTTGTTTTTGTCTTTGTTTTGTTGTTATTGTTTGTAGGGGCATTGTCTCTCTATGTAACCCTAGTTGTCCTGGAGCTCCCTGTGTGGAGCAGGCTGACCCCAAACTCACAGAGATCTGCCTGTCTCTGCCTCCTGAGTGCTGAGATCAAAGGCGTGTGTCACCATATCTGGCAAGGCTTGATGCCTTAAACCATAACCATAAAATGAAGAGAGCAACCTAGAAATGATGCAAGGAAAAAACTCAAAGCCTGCCCCTTTTAATGTACCTCCTCCATCAAGGTCACAGCTCCTGAGCTTCCCCCAAACAGCGCTATCAACTGGGGACTAAGTGTTGAAATGCCAGAGCCTGTGGGGACATTCTCATTCAAAGTAGCACATGCTCTGAGTTGATCACAGGCTTTTCCACCATCAGTGCAGTTGCATATGCAACAAAGTACCTTCAGTGAGACTCCACTGATGCTTTGGAGAACCCTGAAGAAGCTCAAGTAACCATCACGGTTTATTTCTGGTAGGTTAAATGAGTAAGATGAGCTCATAATAACCATTGCTTTATAGTTCTCCAGTAGATCCAGTTTCAGACACGTGAGCACAGCAACTGGATTTTAACAAATGAAGCTTCAGGGAAAGGGAGAAAGGGACGCTGGAACACTGAGGTCATGGCTTCTTGACGCACACCTCAACTCTAGTAGCTTCTCTCCTGGGGTTTTCCAAAGTGCTTATTGGTAATCTTGCCATTCTACTGTCATTATTTACATAGTCTTCCTTATAGAGGTGTGTGCCAGCTGTTTGGGGGTGATGATCTTCCTTATTTCTGTGGCTCCTATGAAATGTTCAGTTTCTCAAACTGGCCACTAATGTTTCCAAAGCAGCCATCATCTTCCCTTCTGTATGACTTTCAGAAGGGAAAATGGCTTCCATGATTCTGCCTGTGAAGAGGAAGCCTTCAGTAAGCAGTATCACTCATTAGGATAGGTGCATTGACCTTCAGGGCAAGTGTCCCAAATTAATCCAAAGTGGATTTCTGTCCTATGGGAAAGCTTAGAAATGGAAACTGGGAATATTATAAATTAGTAAAGACCTTACATCATGTCTGTGGTTCACCAAGGCTTTTAGAGATGGAAGGCAATGTTGAGTCTGTCCTTGGAAAGGTGAGAGACTAGCCCTGGAGTGTTAGAAAAATGGAAGGTAACAGCCTTGCCAGCTCCCCATTTCTAGTGTTAGGCAGAAATCCATGGTACCAGCTTTCAGGAAAGCAGTGTATGAGCTGGGCACAAGTGCTTGACCTGAGCAGGAGAATGTTCTGACCTTTAGATGACATATACAAGGCCATACAAAAATTCTACTGCCTTGAACAGCCATTCCTTATGTAGGATGTGGTCCTCATGGCAGAGGTGTAGAGAAAGGTTCATTGGCCTCTTCTGATCTTAGGCCTCTTCCTGATTGTCCTGGACAACTACTTGCACAGTTTTTTCCACTGTACCTTCAAGATATAGCATAGGGATTGAAGAATTAACTTTGAAGAGAAAAGCCCTTCTCCAAACAGGATTCTTCTCCCTAGATATCCAAATTGTAGTTTAACTATCAGAACCAGGCTTGTACTGAGAGGCGCAGGGGGGCAGAACAGTGGAGGCAAAAGCAGGCACCAGTAGGGTTTTGAAGGGGAAACCTTGGTCTCCCAAATTGGAATCCTGCACCCAACGCTAAACCTCGAGAGGCACAGGGGCAGTCACTCAGAACCTCTGCTTGTGATGTTGCTGTGGGCTGGCTTCCTATGTTATGAAACCAAGTAAGAAAAACTTTCGTGTGTCTGGAAAGACTACAACCTAGCTCTAACTTGTTTCTCTGTCTTCAGTTCCTACCTTGTAAATACTAAGCTTGAAAGTGAAGGTAGCTATTATATTGTTGCCTCCCTGGAGGTGGCCCAAGGAATTCCTAACTAAAATGCTTCTGCTGTTAATGCCAGGGGCATGGAAGCTGCCCCTGCTGGCCTTAGAGTTGGGAGTCCCAGGTCCAAAGCAGAGAAGCAGCTTCCTAGATCTTACTGAACAGCAGCAGTTCCCCGTGGGTTGCAGTTTCTGGGATTTTTCTTCCCTTTCAAACTGCAAGTGTGTCTATTAGATGCTTAACTTGATGGAATGCCAGCACATCACAGATGCAATTATATTTCAGAACAAGCCTCCTCCTTCTAATCTCTCTGCCATCACTGATTAATTAGGTACTTTGAACTCTGCCCAACTGTTTGAAAGCTGTGAAAAATACAACCTGCATAGTTAAAATTTCTACACAAGCCTGTTTCCTCATTGTGCCTGTATTCCCCATCCTTTGAACATAATAAGTATTTATACATGTTTTCTAGTACACGGTCTGGCTATTTTCTTATCATGGCTAGAATTCCCTCCACTGCTGGCCAAGAAATACAAGCACACAATGAAAACCTAATAGCAAAACTATGTGAGAAACCAATTGAATAATTTAGACATACTTGCAGCTTGTTACTACCATGTGACACACAAAAGTTATGTTTTTCCTTTTAAGCCTTGCCTGAATGCCTCAGAAAGGCATCTTGTTAATGGTGTCTCCTTATAGACCTTTTAGAGTATCTTTGTGCTTGTGAGGAGCAGTGGAAGGATAACTGGCGCAGGATTTAGAATCTCTCTCTGTGTCTCTTTCCTTCCCCTCCCCTCCTCCTCTTCCCCTGTGTGTACCAGTTTCTAACTCAGGTCCTCAAGCTTGCACAACAGCAGTTTGCCATCCCCAGCCTTGCACTGTTTCATTTTTATCACATGTAATTATTAGCTGTGTGTATGGCGCCATGTTTTATTTTAGTGCAGGGGGTCAAGGGACAATTTTTAGGGATCAGGCTCTCCTTCCCCTTTATAACACTTTAGAGATAGAGCTTGGGGCATCAGGCTTGTGTAGCTCACACCTGTCCCCTCTGAGCCATCTCACTGGCCCACATGACACCATGTTTGCAAGTAACTTCTAGTCCTTCTTTTCTGAGATGGAATTGTCTTTGAAAGTGCCTGAGTGCTGAAAGATCCGGTCTACAAAGGAAGAGACGCAGGCAGAGCACCTCTGAAACTGGCCATGCTGTCTTCTTAGAATGGACACTAGGTTTGAAGGACTGGGTGGACATGCAGAGGGAGATGAGTGTCTCTCTCCTCATAGCCCTGTGCTGAGACTGACATTAATGGCATACCCGTCTCATGGCAGCCCAGGACCTCCGAAGCTGCTTAGCTGAGCCTCATTGTCCTCAGACCCTAGAAACTGCTCTGGCCCATCTGTCCTTCCTCTGATGGAAAGTTCCTAAAGATAAGCACATAACACCTTTCCCCAATTTTAGGGAATACTTGCATTTGGCCTTGCCTTTTTTGAAAACATATTCTGTAGACATCTATGCCTTCCCACTCCTTGGTTCCACCCCTGAATTTCAAACCAGATTTTGACCTTTTCCAGAAACAGTTGGCTGTATCAGGACCTCTACCACTGATCTCACCTTCTTCATTGAACATGAGAAAACTAAGCCACCCCTTTCTAAGCCAGCTTGCTCTTAAGTAGTGTGTAATTGAGATGAACGCAGTTGAAAGGCTACAGGTAGTTATGCAATCCTGGCTCCTATTGACTTCTTCCTTCACCCTCCTAGGTGACAGCCTGCCTGATTGCTGTAGCTAAGACCGACAATGATGTTCAAGTGCGCAGAGCCGCGATCCATGTGGTTGTGCTGCTGCTGCGGGGACTCAGCCAGAAAGCAACTGAGGTAAGCCAGCTTCCCCCCCTCCCCCGTGCATCTTCCCTTCCTTGTGTTATTCTGGGACCCAGTCTTCCTTGTACAGGTTCAGCTTAACCGTCTTTCTTAGATTTGAGTTGGGGTTTTCATAGCAAGAAAATGGTATGACTTGCATCTCCAGTAAGAGTCTCTATGATGCATTAGCAGCACAGTAGCTGCTGCGTGAAAACCATGCGTGTTTACAGAGGCTGTGAGTCCTGGCAGTCTCAGGGCAGGCCCCACGGTGAGCTAGCTGGAGCACATTCACCCTGCTCTGCAGCCTGAGCTCTGGTGGCTTGTCTTTCTGACCCACTTCACTGTTCATGCTTAGGGATGGAAGGCTTCATCTAAGAGACTTCCTTTCCAGCTCTGAGTTGTGGCTTAAATTATACTTTCTTCTTCAAGTGGTTTGGTTGGACCTCTCCCCATTGTATGGCCAATACAGGAAGAAAGTTTATGAATCGAAATGTGTGCTGAGAGTGAATGAACTCAAAATGAGTTTCCCTCTTGCTTCTAACGGAACCACCTCCCCAGCTGCTTTCAGATTAGAGTCTGCATTAATAATTCACTTGCTGGCACCCACAGACTGATCTGCGGCTCGCACATCAGTATTTAACCAAACCTCCAGGAAGCCATTGTGAGAGTGATTGTTCTGTCACAGAGAGGTTTATTCATGCCTGTGTTTCACCGTATCAGGTCACCAACACCTGTTTGTACATGTCGGCACTCTTAGTTAGCCCCTTCCGACCTTGACAGCCTCGCTGTCTCCAGAAATGCCTACTTGTTGTCATTCAGCCTGGCAGCTGGTTTCCAAACGGCCACTTCCCTGTCTGCCACCCTCGGCTGCTCTTCTCTGCCTTCACATGTGCCTTGCCTAGGGTAAGGTTGGGCTTGCATGGGCTCATGTGGCATGAACGTGTTCACCTGTGAGTTAGAAAAGCTTGATTGTGGTGGGCTCGTCAAGTGAGGATTTGTTTTTATCAAATCACAAGAACTGTGTGTTTCTTAGTAACTTAGCTATAGAAAGGCCAGTGTTTCTTGGATTGTCATGGCCCGTTGTCTCCTAGAAGCAGTGTGGCTACAGTAGGCATGGCCCCTAGAACTGATTAAATGGGAAATAAAGAAGGTGAGAGAAAGACAATTGTAGGCATTTTGCATCCTGTGGGGGGGGCAGTTTTCTAGCATCATCCCCCTCAGCTTACTTTGTTTCAGTCATTGCTCACCTAACCACCCCCACGGTAAGGTGTCTCCATGCTGCATTTAGCCTGCGCATTTCTGCTTGAAACAAAATCAAAGCTTAGTTAGCGAGGATGATGGCAGGAAATGAATACTGGGGCTGTGACTAATAGTGACACAAAGGAAGTGGGAAGAGTGGCCGAGCTGACTCACAAGGGGAAGAATTGTGCAGTGATGGAGTTCTCACCTAGTCTGTCTGGCGATAAGACAGGGACATGTGCACATAACTGATGGTTCCTAGAATTAAATGAATTGCTGTAGTATACACGCAGCTTTTGTTCAGAACCTGCTGTACAAACAAGAATTAAGAAACTTCTGTACTTTCCATCTTTGTTAAGATCTACAGGACTGGGGTGCAGATGGTCTGACACTTGCCTGGCGCTCAGCACAGGAAAAGCCTGGGTTCCGTCCTCTGCCACTCAAGAAAATAACTTGGGCTAAGCGTACTGCTATATACGTATAATCCCAGCATTTAGGAGGCAAGGTGGGTGGATTATGAGCTCAAGGCCAGCCTGGGCTACACAGCAAGATCCTATCTCAAACAACAACAAATCTACGATGCTTCCAGTAAATACATCGTGGTCCTTGTGTTGTTCTTGTTGCAGTTTTTTCTTTTTGGAATTGGAGTTGAACCTAGTAGAGCTTTACTCATTCTAGCTTGCGCTGAGCTGGGTCCCGAGTCAGTATCACTGTTTATGTAATCCTTAACAACTGGGAAGATTGAGTAGGGAATACAAGGATTCTATATTAAAATCTTCTACCAGTCTAAAAGTATTTAGTAATAAAAGATTATCTAAGAGGTTGGAGAAATGGCGCAGCGGTTAACAGCATATGTTGTTGTTGTTTTTTTTAAAGAAAGATTTATTTATTTATTATATATATAGTCTTCTGCATGCATGTATGCCTGCACTCCAGAAGAGGACCCAGATCTCATTATAGGTGGTTGGGAGCCACCATGTGGTTTGCTGGGAATTGAACTCAGGACCTCTGGAAGAGCAGACAGTGCTCTTAACCGCTAAGCCATCTCTTCAGTTCCAGCATATGTTATTCTTGCAGAGGGCCCAAGTTTAATTCCCAGCACCCCCACATCAGGCAGCTCACAACTGCCTGAAACTCTAGCTTCTGACATATCTCTTACCTCCTCAGGCCCATGCACAGAGATGCACGTGTGCATGCAAATAAATAGATAATAAATAATAAAATATATTTAAGAATATAAGTTGCAACTTTTTTGTTTGTTTTTTCAAGATAAGATATCTCTGTGTAACTTTGGAGCCTCTCCTGGAACTCGCTTTGAGGACCATGCTGGCCTCAAACTCAGAGATCTGCCTGCCTCTACCTCCAGAGTGCTGGGAGTAAAGGCATGTGCTACCATCGCCCAGCCCAAGTTACAACCTTTTAAAGAAAAATCTAAGCTCAGTATGGTGTTGTACCCTTGTAATCCCCAAATTTGAGATCTGGAGGCAGGAGAGTCACAAGTTCAGCTCTGTCTGCTACAGAACAGGTACTCCTGGGTTGCACAGATAAAACAAAACAAATCCATAAAACTTTGGACATGGGGTGTAGCTCACTTGTAGACCGCAATAAGTTTGACCCCAATATCAAAAGAGGAAAAATTCTTATGAAGTATGAGTAATGCTGTGCACACATGTACATACGTAATAAAAGAGAATTGTGTGTGTGTGTGTGCGTGTGTGAATTAGAGAACAATGAAAGCTGAAGCAGGAACTCTAAAAGCTGGGTGTGCTGTTGTGTGCTTGTAATCTCAGCACTCGGGTTGGGAGCAGGAGGATCAGGTTAACCCTGGCTTCATAACCAAGTTCAAGACTAACATGGGCTACGGGAGGGCCCGGGGAAGAAGAGGAAAGAAAAAGAAAAGAAACGTTATCTAAGTGCCTCACATCTGCGTATAGCTAATGAAAGCAGCACTGTTTGCCTCACCAAACAGGAATTAACCTGTGGCCTTGAAGATCTCTGTCACTTTTAAAAAGTGGTGTCAATAGAAAATGCCTCTCCTGTTGTTCACACCTCTGGGCCACACTCACTGAAACTTACAAATTGTGCTTACTCAGTGGGTGAAGGAAGGAAATGGGATGGATGGATGCCTAACTCCCCCGCTGCATCCTTGAGACCAGGTGTGTTAAATCTTGTCACCGTGGTTGTGATTATAACTGGGGCCACTGTAATGAGGAGTGGAGAGAACTGCTCAGCTTACACTGACATTTCTCTTGAGAGCTGTTTTGCCCCCAGGAACAGCTGAAGTGAAAATGCTACTCTGTTGATGAAGTTTTCCTCTCTGTCCTGCTAATCCCCATCTCTCCAGCTAAAGGTAGCCAAAAGATAGTGCTGGGTTTCATTTGCTGCTTGTGGGTGTCGGGCCCAGGATCTCTGTGGTTACAGCAACTGGCCAGGGAGGTAGGGAGATGGATTGGGAGTAAGAGGGAAACCATCTCTGCCTCTAATTGATGAGGTAATTTTTAGTTCATTCAAAAGTAGCCAGAGTGTTTAGTGGCAGTCAAAACAAAACCTGCACTCACTCTCTTACTGAAGAGAAAAGTTCTCTTTTTTTGATTTAGCTTTAGACCCCTATGTGCTTAATATATAGCATGACAGTTAAGAAGCCAGAAGTTACCTTCTTTAAACTCCTATCTATCTCACGCTGACTGAAAAGCAAATTTACTAGGAATAACCAGGAGAGGAGGCATGACATGTTCTGACCTGTAACGTGTTGCTTTCAGAGTTAAGAACAGGCCTCTCAACACAGAAAAGTGAGCTAAGCAGCATAATAAAGACAGTGCAGCCTAACTACCTCCTCTTCCCAGGCTTGACCTCTGCCCAGTGACTCACTTATCCCATGTATTAGAAATGTTTAGATATACATATTCATAAGTTTGGTCCTGAGACAATAACTAAGGAGTAGAAATTGAAGGCCGTCCTGTGAAGCTGGCACTCCTTCACATAGCAGCCATTCAGCCAGTACAGAGAGAACTGATCCCTGAGAGAGGGAGGAGAGCAGGCTGGTTCTTATGAGGCATGCAGGCTTAGAGGACCATCATGGGCAGAGGATTTCTGTTTCCTTGGCTTTCACTGTAGGGACAGATTGAAGAGTTATTTGACGAGGCATGTGATACTGTAGGGACCTTAGAAAAGAAGTCTTTATGGCCAACACTAGAAGGTGGAATCTAGTGCTTGTGTTTTAGATTCACCTGGTGCTAGTCTGTCTAGGCCAAGTAGAGACTGTGGTGTGACTTAACACTGACAAAAACAGATTCGAGTTAAAAAATAAAGAGACAGATCAAATGGAAAGTTTCTTATTGGCAGAAATTTCTGTCCTCAAGCCACTCCCAAGAAACCACTCAAACACTCAATATTAATTATAAATGCTTGACCAATAGCTCAGGCTTGTTACTAGTTAACTCTTTTTTTTGTTGTTTTGTTTTTTGTTTTTTTTTTTTGTTTTTTTTTTTTTTTGAGACAGGGTTTCTCTGTAGCTTTGGAGCCTGTCCTGGAACTACCTCTTGTAGATCAGGTTGGCCTTGAACTCAGAGATCTGCTGCCTCTGCCTCCCAAGTGCTGGGATTAAAGGTAGTATGCCATCGTGCCTAGCTAAACATTGCTTTTAATATGTGGGAACAAACATTTGAAAATTGTGCTCCTGGTCTGATGGGCTCCTTAAATTCAGAAAATTAAGTCAGGCTTGAAACAAAGCAGAATAAGACAAATGGCTCAATATACACAGTCATCATTCTTGTCTC